AATAAGAAAGAACTTTAACTATTAAAAAGTAAATAGAGTTTTTTAAATTATATTTTTTAAAAAAAAAACTAGTAGAAGAAATATTATAATATATTATTATAGAAATAAAAACAGCTCTTTATTATAAGAAGGAGAATAAAGAATTAATAAAGCTTAAGAACTTATCTAAGAGTATTTTCTAGAAAGTTATTATATAAAATATTTAGATCTATTTAATTTAGTTAGCGCTATATAGTTATAATAAATATAGATTATAGGTCTAATATCTTAGAGGATATAAGCTAAGAGTATTAAATATAGAGATTATTATCCCTAAGAAAAGAATAAGCTAAAGCTTTATAACCCTAAAAATTAGACTAATTACTAGAGATAAATCTAAAAAAACTATAAGTTTAAAAGATATTATATTTAGGCAGAAAGAAGTAACCTTTATTAATAATCTATATTAGCTAATATTAGAGAATTAGGGAATAAATCTTAATAATATCTATTATTTTAATTACAGAGAATAAGATAAGATAAGATTTAATTAAGGAGGATCTAGGCCTTTTAATATCTAAATAAATAAAGTTATAGCTATAGGCAAAGTAATATTTAGTCAGTTAAACTAAAATTGCTTAGAAGTTAAAATAGAGCTATACTTTATATTAAAGCAAGATATATTATTAATCTAAGATTATCTATAGAGGAAAAGAACTTAGCTTTATAAGTTAAGGATTTTAAGATATATATAATATTAAAAACTAGAATATTCCTACTTTAAGAATAATTTATAATATTAAAAGGAGAAAATAGTATAAATTATAATAACTAAAGAAGGCAGATAAGAGTATTTACTCTTAAAGAGGGGGAAGCTATATAATAGAGAAGATCGGCATAAAAAATATAATTAGTTAAGAGGTTATATACTTTTACTTAAAGTTTTTAAAAAGTCTATAAATAAAGCAATAGAAGATAAAATAATACTCTTTTTAGTTATTTAGAATAAAATAATTAGCTTTTCCTTTTTATTATTATTTAATATTAGTTTAGCATTAGATTATTATTAGTTTATTATATTAGTCTATAGCTAGAGCTTTTCCTCTAGCTCTACTTTAAGCTCTAAAGCTAAATACTCTTCTCTTCCTTTTTAATACTTACTCGCTTAAAGACTTTATACTAAGTCTTAATACGTCTTCCTATAATACTATTAGTTTAATTTATAAAATCTATAAACTATTCTAGTTTATAAAATAATAAACTAAACTAAACTATAGATAATTTAATTTAATTTAATTCGGTTTTTTTAGTTTACTATAATTACTCTAATCTAAATATAGAGATAAAAAATATTTTAACTTAAATAAAGAAGATTTTACTCTAAATAAGATATAGGACTAATATATTTAATTAAATATTATAATAAGGAAGGATTTTAACTATTAGAAAATAAATAGAATTTTTTAAATTATATTCTTTAAAAGAAAATTAATAAAAGAGATATTATAATATACTATTATAGAAGTAAAAGTAATACTCTATTATAAGAAGAAAGATAAAGGATTAATAGAGTTTAAGAATTTATCTTAAAGTATTCTTTAGAAGATTATTGCTTAAAATATCTAAGTCTATTTAATTTAATTAATATTATATAGTTATAATAAATATAAGTTATAAATCTAATATTTTAGAGGATATAAATTAAAAATATTAAATATAAAGACTATAATCCTTAAAAGAGTAATAAAATAAAGCTTTATAACCTTAAAGATTAAACTAATTATTAGAGATAAGTTTAAAGAAATTATAGGCTTAAGAGATATTATATTTAAATAAGGAGAAGTAATTTTTATTAATAATTTATACTAGCTAATATTAAAGAATTAAAGAATAGATTTTAATAATATTTATTATTTTAACTATAGAAAATAAGATAAGATAAGATTTAATTAAGGAGAATTTAAGCCTTTTAATATCTAGGTAAATAAAGTTATAACTATAGATAGAGTAATACTTAATTAGTTAAACTAAGATTATTTAAAAGTTAAAGTAAAGCTATACTTTATATTAAAGCAAAATATATTATTAGTTTAAGATTATCTATAGAAGAAAGAAACTTAGCTTTATAAATTAAGGATTTTAAAATATATATAATATTAAAAATTAGAATATTTCTACTTTAAGAATAATTTATAATATTAAAAGGAGAAAATAATATAAACTATAATAACTAAAGAAGGTAAATAAAGATATTTACTCTTAGAAAAGGAGAAGCTATATAATAAAGAGAATTAGCATAAAGAATATAATTAATTAAGAGGTTATATATTTTTACTTAAAGCCTTTAAAAAATTAATAAGTAAAATAGGAGAAGAGAAATAAGAAAAAAAGATCTTTTAGTTATTTAGAATAAAATAATTAGCTTTACCTTTCTATTATTATTTAATATTAGTTTAATATTAGATTATTATTTAGTTTATTATATTAGTTTATAGCTAGAGCTTTTTCTCTAGCTCTATTTTAAGCTTTAAAGCTAAATATTCTTCTCTTCCTTCTTAATATTTACTCGCTTAAAGACTCTATACTAAGTCTTAATACGTCTTCCTATAATATTACTAAATTATTAAATTATTAAGATTTAAATTCTTTATATACTAGAGATAAATATAAGATTAAATTTCTCCCTTAAATATAGAGTTAAGTAAGTAATTTAAATCTTACTTCTATACTCTTTAAGATTTAAGATTTAAATTATATATATTTATCTGCAGCTAAATAATTATATTATTATTTAATTATATACTGCTAGTTTCTCTTTAATAAAATCTAGGGGTTTCTTTAATTAAAGGCTTTATTAAAAAGCTCTATTATATTAAATATATTAAATTATTAATTCTTAGTAAGAATATAATTATTTAATTATAGAGAATAGAGTACTATTAAAATAGTAACCCCGGTAAATAAGAATATAACTCTTGCATCTGCTAATTAAAATAGATATATATCCTCTATCCTAGCTTAAGTGCGCGCCTATAACGCTACGATTAGTTAACGAATATTCGAAGGTTTTTAGCTCTATAACCCTAGTGACTTAGAAGGCCTGACTGCTCCTTGTATTACGGCACTTACGCGAATTATTAAATGCGATTCGTATCTGTTAAAATTCCAGGAGGCATTTTATCATGGAAGCTTAGGTAATAATACGCTCGCAGACTCTATATCTGATAAGAGCTGTGGCGCGAGCCTCCAAGAGTAGTTCGACACTGTGTCTATGTTATGCGCGGGACAAAAGGTTACCGGAGCTGTTCCGATAAAACTTAGTAGGATTGTCTACTAAGGCTGCAACGAGATATGTTTAAAAGACCCCGGGAGTGGAGAATACTGTAATAGTACGTTTAAGCCTATAATTATTGGAGCAAACAGGGGAACCTGACGATTCCAGATATTATCAGTGGGTTTACTCTTGTAGCTGACACCAATTAGATGCCCAAAGACGAGATATGCTCATATTGCTATACGACCAAGCTACAGATAATGTAGTCGAGCCCGTACTCCGCATATAACACAGATTCGCAGGGAGATTTGCAACTAGTTCACTCGACCTGTGCCATTTCTAGGTCGACTGACCTTCGTCCTTCCCTGATTATAAGGGAGCCAGATGCCCCTACTATGTGCGTTTCAGGGAATACCTATACTATCAAAGATAGAGACACCTGTGACTCAATTGCTTCGAATTACGGTGTTGCGTCGGCGGCGCTGTTCATGGCTAACTCCGATATAATCGTGAACTGTTCCTCGCCGGCAACAAATGCAACATTATGTCTGCCTCTAACTTGCGGCTCTCTCTACACTCTCCAGAGCACTGACAATTGCACGATAATCGAGTCCGCTCAGGGCCTTGGTTACGGCCAACTCCGAGCCTACAACCCTTAGATCTACGCCGATTGCTCTAATCTTTAGGTCGCCAGCCAGTTTTACGGGAGAATGCTCTGCCTGGATCTATAAGCTGGGACCTTCACGGCTACTGCTCCAATTCCAGGGTTAACATTAGCGCCAACGCAAAGTACTGGATACACTATTCAAGCCATACCCCCCGGTGCGAACAGCACAGTGGCTGCTGATACGACTACGAATTGCGGAAAATAGCACGTCGCGCAAAATGATGAGACCTGCGCTATGATTTGCACTCAAGAAGGCATCCCGGCGAATCTATTCTTCCTAGTTAATCCGTCGCTGTCCAGCAGTAGCTGCGATTCGAGCCTTGTCAATAGGATAATGTACTGCGTTGGACCGGTCTACGGCTGGAATATTATAATCCCGGTTGATCCCTCTAACTCCGCGTTAAACACCCCTATACCTACTCCATAAAGAAATCCGGGTTATATAGGCATATGATAGATTGATTAATTACAGTATATCAGCAAAATCTCGATAATAAGGCTAGATCTCGATAATAAGGCTAAACCGGAGATAATTCGCTTCAAATAATATCGAGACGGAGACTTATGGAAATTATAGTTTAAGATAAGATGGCCGGTGCTAATGCCGCAATGACACGAAACGTAATTAGCGAATATGACTTTCCTACTTGATTATCTAGCTCGGCCAAGAAAATGCACTAAGCGCCAGAGACATTTCCTCCATGAACGGGACACCTTTTATCGCAGCTGTCAGTCTCTTTTGTCTCTTATTACTTGAGAAATACTAAAAACAATGCATAAGGACTGAAGAGTTTATATGCATATATTAAGCCGGAGGACAGTGCTAACTTGTCGCTAAAAAGGGCTAATTCGCTCTGATTGGACGACTAGCCTTGCTGTTATTAAATATTATTTCTCAGCACATTGGACAAGTAAGATAAAACAAAAATAAAAGCTAAGGGAGAGAAAAAAGGACAAGAGGATATGTCGGACATCATCCATCCAGTCCAACCAGTAGTGGGGAATATTGTCCCCCGCGCACAGCAATTCCTACGACGACACTGCAACATTAACAATAAGCTAGAGGCGATCCCCACGGACTGGAGATGGGGTTTCGTCGTCTACCGCACCGTGTACACGCCCGAATCAGACGCCATATGGCCCGCAGCCATTGCCAAGCTCGAGGCGTACCTATTTCGTGAGATCGATCGCGACTTGTTTTGGCAGCCTCCCTCATCGTGGATATGGAAGGAACCCATCAATCCTACCGCCAACGCAGCAGTGCAGTCGCATATGCGGAACCTATACCTGAGCGACCAGGAGCAGTACGATGCGCTGGGTATTGACGCAGTGCGCGAGAGGTTTATTGAGCTCACGCAGTCCTGGGACAGGAAGGACGACCATGATGGCAGCACGGGGCTAAAATGGGAGTTTTGTCTCCTTATCGACGAGGATGTTCTTCGGTCGCTGATAGACGCCCCTGAACCGGTTGCTCAGAACAGTGTGAGTGACAAGGAGGTCGCTGAAAACAAGGTCGGGAATCCAGGGTATATCAAGGTCATTGACCGGTCATTCGACACCACGGAAGAACCAGCTTCTCGCGACCGCAATGATTATCCCGGTTGGATGAAGGCATCGCTCGACTGTCTCTGGATGCTCTATGATATTACGGAAATGGAGCTCGAGTGTCCGTATCGGAACGATGATACGGGCGAGTTCCCTGTCTGGTGCGGCGGTCCGACGCGGAGGGAGCCTTACCCGCATCTTGGACGAATTCGACCCATCAATGAAGACAACAACGACGATAATAATAATTTGTCTGGAGGAAGGCAAGGAAGTGGTGCAATTAAACAAGGCACTCAACGTCGCTTGGCAGCTGGCACAGTAGGCGGAACTCAACGTGGTCCCCCTGGTGGCGTGCAGCGATCTCGTCCTCAGCTAGGACCTGGCGATCATCCGTACAATCCCAATATTCGCAACCAGCCCCTAACACCGGAACTAATTGCTGCAGGCCAAGCGGCGGCCGCTAAATTACGAGAGCGACAGAATGAGAAAATGAGAAAGATAGAAGAGGCAGAAGAAAGAGCGCGCAAGGAAGGAAAGTCTGGCAACAGAGCTGCGCCGACGTAGGAGGTACTAGTATGTACCCGGGGACAGTTACAATTCCTTGCGCGACAGCAGCTGGCCACATTCAGGTCCGAAAAAGGACGGTCGTGTTACGAGTGCACAATCATGATTCTATTATATGAACTGCTGCCGGCTCGTTGCTTACCTTACATTAGGAAAGAAACAAGTCTGTACATAGACGATATGGCACTTTCGATGAATGCGTCTGCTCGGCTAGAGGATGTCGAAGATGAGGTGGTTTTCACAACAACTGATGACGATATCGAGTCCCCTTATTCAAACACAGAGAGAGAGAGAGAGGGGCGGGGGGGTCAGATAACGCCTTTGTTATCCTAGATGAAACTCACGCGCAGAGGATCCAGGCTATAGGCCTACCAATAAAAAATTCAGCGCCTTAGATTATCCCCTAGCCCAGTAAGACTGTGTGTACTATCTTGCATACAACAGCGGTTATGCACTGGCGAACTAAATGTGGCCCCAGGTGCGTAATAAGCGATATCCACCAGTAAGACAAATGCCTTACACCTCACAGTGTTCGCCACTTAGTATTTCGTGAATGAGTATATAGACAAACAGTATATCAACCATACTATGTGTCTTCTGCACCTATTTTGTGAGAGGCGGAGCAATACTGGGAATCTTTTGTTATTGGGAGATTGGTCAGATAAGTGATATATGTTGTGCTGCATTTGGAATAGTGTCTATAATCTTGTGGCTGGTGCGCTAGATACAACAGTCTTGCACATGAGGCTTACTGTAGATGAACCTCCGCGGTAGCATAATACCAAAATGTGACGAAGTAGTAGTAAAGTTTGAATCAGCTGCGTTATGAATGATTCGGGAAGATTGTGTAAGTATTGCGGAGAAATAATAACTGCGCGGACCATAAAGTTTTATACTTGAATTATAATGTTATGGCTTAATTGATCTTTTGAAGGTATAGTGATAATGCAGAAACTATCAATCAAAGAGCAAAGGGTAGATAGGTTACTATGTAAACAAGAAAACAAAATCTCTGCGCAGCCAAGACAATCGACACCTCAAACAGGTATGATTAATACGGCAGGAAGTGGGGTACCTGAGAAATCAGATAGATGTCGGTTAGTAGTATCAATCCTTTCGAGTTACTGATACCCACCCATCGAGGCGAATATTGCTTCCCATACCTCCACCGACTGCATCAGAGTATCATGGTCTGTTTTATCGACCGTCGTGGAGACAAAGTCAATGGCCTCCACACCTGGTGCCTGCCAGCACTCTTCGAAATATCTTTGCCCCCGACTGCCCACTAGGGCATCTTTGGAAGCAAAGTACGTACGGAGACGGACTCGGCCACCTGTGGATTGTTCGCGGGCAGCCAGCACCTGCGCACATTGAGCATAGTCCGAACAAACCCCCCAGTCACTGCCATCGCTCTTTCGAAGGCACAGAAGAGCCTCACTGTTGGCACCGACGGTGTTCTCAGCGTACATGAAGGGAACGACGAGGCGAAAGAGCTCCGCCTGTTCCGCACATGACACGCTGTAGTCGCGGTCGACACTCCTCGAATTGGCATCGAGGAATGAGCGGTCATCTGCCGTCTCACCACTTCGTGGTGATATCTGGCGAAGTAGAGTACCGCTTAGCGCCAGCGCAGGGATAGCTTGAGTTGCGAAGAAGCGCGGGATATGGTGCCATAGTGTGAATGCTTTGGCTGGCACATACTGTGCTATTTGCACTACTGTAACGCGCGAGCAGGATGGATCAACCCACGGGGCTATAAGCGGCACACTAAGTTATTCATTCTCGTGTATCTGTGTTTCTCTTCCATATGCTCCTATGAGAGGGGAGGTGGTGGAAATCAGTACCTAATAAAGTAATGTCTGGGTTTATAAGTTCACGGCAATGCGCCCAGGTATTGAGCATATAAACTGTGCCGGCGCTATGGGCGATAAGACTAATGCGTGTAATGTTGAGATGAGCCAGCAGACGCGGCAGCAAATTAACCCAAGCGGCGACTCGTTGGGTGGATGGAACATCAGTCGATGCGCCCATGCCCGGCCGGTCGACAACGAGCAGACGCACACCAGCGCGCTTTGCAATTGCGTGTAGAGGAATGCCCAAATAGCGCGATGCGAACATGCCCGGCAACAACATCAGGGGAGCCCCGGTGATGCAGCCTATCTCGGCGAACGAGACAGTTAATAGACCCCATGCTGTGTCAAGAGTGACGCGGCGATGGAAGCAGGAGCTAGAAATAAGGCCAAGAGGATCAGACATGACTACCGGGGTATTTTCGTCGGTATATGTTCCGAATGCCAAAAGCCAAGCGATATATTGTATTTCTGGTGATGTTTGTCTAAATATAATGGCCAGATCTTGCTAAAGGCGTGTTTAGGTCCGCGGGTAAGTTGGATCTTATATAGAGAAATAGTGTAGATAACCAGTGATATAAATGATAGGCTAACTAATATCACCTGCCCACTTGCTTTGCAATAATCTCATATTGTCCAATGCGTAAAGCACGGGGATAATGCGGCTGAAAAGCGGGGTTGGGATAAGCTGTCGGGATCTGCCTACAGGCAGATCTCCTGTCGGGTTTCTCCTACGCCTTTCTAGCTCCTCCATCCACAGGGATAAATAGGCTGAGCTAGTTGCTAGATGAATCCAAGCTCAGCGAGCTTCGCTCCAGATAGGCCTTTCTACTACATCTATCATTTGAAGGACGGGGAGGAAAGCCTGTTTATTAGACCTAGCTACCTCGGCGAGCGAAACCATCGAAGAGAGCTGGTCGATAAGTATAAAATAGTGCAATGGTCGCGAACACCACTCGTCTGTGGTCAGCTATTCTGAGATAGAGAGGCAAGCTGCTTGCCAACCTCTCCGTAAGCTTATACAAACATGGTGACAAATTCAGGGCGTAAGCAAATGGCCACGATAATGCGTGGGGAATGGATCATCTTGCCTGGATAATCTGCCTGATTCCCTGGATAAAACTGATCCGCTAGCCGTCACAGACTTCAGGTCTCATCGTCGAACAGTACGCATATGTTGGTGTATTCTGTCTCCGTTCTCCTCACTGCAATATCGCCAAGGATCGGCTGTATCCCTGGCTTGGGGCACATACAGGCGCCCGCGGGGAGGGTCGCCAGGTTCGTGTACGGCAGGGTCGACGCGGGGTGGTATGGCTGTGGGCTCGCATAAAACCAAAGTATCTCATATCGTAAAATCTGGTTTATTTCCTGTTTTAAGGCTATTTCTTACCTTAAATTAACTTCTTACTCTTACTGTCCAATAATAGGTGGTAGTAAATGTATCCACAGTTATACCGCAGAAGAAAAACGTGGGACAGACCCCATCATACTAATAAAACCGCGGCTTGCGAAGAACTATATACTACGTGTAACGCGCCACGATATAAGAGTAGGGCTAACTCTACCTTGCGAGTTATATAAGATTATAAAAGCAAAGCTTATAGTGTATAATACTATAAGATTACTTACTGAATTATAAAAATTCGGCTAGTAATATAGAAAAAGCGCGAAGGTTAAAAGATATTTTGGGCCTGTAGAGCCTGGCGGATATCGCCTGCCTCCTTCAGTTTCGGGTTTAGTGCTACGCACAGTTAGATAGATACCTAGCTAGAGCTTCGAGCTCAGCTCCTAGATAGGAATCTAAGCATCTTCATCAGCTCTAGTCTGCATGCCGAGAAGAGATAATACTATAATTTAGTTAATGTATTTAGACCATAGATCAAAGAGATAAAATAATTAGAACTAAAAGGTAAATAGTACTAGCCGTGATGTGTTATATCGGCCCATTTACACACCGTTTTTATACAGTTGGCCCCCTGAGGCCATATCTAGAGCGATCGCTTCTTGCAACCCCACCACATTGAAAAGGTCCCTTGGAGTGCTCCCCGCTCTGACAACTTGCGTGCCCGTCTTTTTGAGATTCCTGACGGCATCATGAACGGCTCCGTAGACAGCCCCAAGTGCCAAGGCAGGAAATATAATCATCCGAAACCCAAGGTCTTCAGCATCTTGCACGGAAAGATCAGGAGACACGCCCCCAGGAACCGCATTGAACAGAACGGGAGTCGGCTTGAGGTCCTCGCAGACCATCTTAGCCTCCTTAGATGTTACGCCTTCCAAAAAGGCCACATCCGCCCCGAGCCTGATAGCCCCTTTCAGTCGCGAGATGGCCTCCTCATACCCTAAGGACTGCAGGGCATCCGTCCGCGCAATCAGGACAATGTCACCATGTGCCCGACTGCGTGCATTGACAGCAGCACGGATACGACCGAGATACTCTTCTTCGGATACAACTTGCTTGTTGCGCAGATGGCCACAGCGTTTCGTAGTAGGTTGGTCTTCGAGATGGAGGGCAGCGACTCCAGCACGAATATATTCGGTGACGGTGCGAGCGACCATGAGAGAGCCTAGGCTGTCAGTATTGCACATCCAGTGTCTTGAAGAGATACAATGTCACCTACCTCCAAACCCGGTATCTGCATCCGCTATCAACGGCACTGACGGGTCCAGGTTGGCGATCATCTCCGCGTTTCCTTGCATCTCATTAAGGGTAATAACTCCCAGGTCGGGCTGTCCGAGTCGGGATGCTGTCGTTCCTGCACCGGTCTGGAAAAAGGCTATGAGCGGATGGACCCGTGGGATAGGCGTTGACTCTGTTGGGTCTTACCATGTACAAAGCATCGAAACCTTCCCGTAAAGCGATTCTGGCCGTGAGACCATCGTATACACCGGGGCAGACAATGATTCTGCTCTCGTCAGCCAGCAATTGGCGGAGCTTAGCTGCTGCCTGTGATGGCATTTTCACGCGTAGTATATGCAGGAAGGCTTTCCTGGTATAATGAGTTGTGATGACAATGGTTGAATCCGTGTCTTATTATGTACTGGTAGTGGTGAAAGGCTCCGGGCCGCAAGCGGGCCGATACCGTGCCAGGCTGATCAGGAGCCTTCAGGCTCGGGGATTTATAGATTTCTATCTGCGAACAAATCGTCCCTTCAATTTCAATCAATTACGAATCATTCTTGAACTCTACGACTCAACATGGACCGAGGAGAACAATCTAGTTTGCACAAACTACTCCAGACTCTCCAGCAGAGTAGGGGTGTCATCTTGTCTGACAACGACGGTTAAGCTACAACCCTTCTATTAATGCGTATAGACTACTGACCCGTAACAGAACAAGAACTGGCCAACACTGCAGGCTATCTAAAACAATTGTCTGTCTTGGCAAATATCCTCAAGCAGGACCACCCTCGTGAATGCAGTGCACTTTCAGATGTGATCGCCATTTGCAGCCAACCCCCAGAGCTCGGAGGCCTTGGATTGACAAAGTCTGTCACTACAAACGGAGATCAGGAATCCGAAATTCTTTTCCTGGTATCGGCATGGCTAGAGGCCTTGAACTCTGCTGACAGAGCGAAGTCACCGCCTGTACCGCTTTCACTCCGACCACCCGGGCGACGGGGTATGACCCTCAGCGAGAAGATCTTCGCCTTCCATGACATTGACAGGAAGGGCTCCGTTGCCCCCGGTGAGTTAATCCGAGTAGATGTTGACTGGGTCATTGCCTCCGAGGCTTCGTGGTCGGTGAGTATAAACCATTTATGAGCACCAGTATCGTCTCTGACGTTGCGCACAGGGAATGGAACGCACGTATAACATGCTCGGGAAACCAGGGATCTTCAGAAATGATCGTTTCTGGCTAGCTGGCGACCATGTCGTGGACCCGCGTGTGAACAAAACTCCCAAGGTTCAGGCTTTGATTGACGCAAGTGAGCGTGCTAGACGAGTCTTCAAAATGACCGATTACCAGGGAATGAATGTATGTATCCGAGCATCTAGCTTTCCGTGCAGTCTACTCATCAAATTCACAGTACACCATTCTTCACACCGAGTTCTACCGAGAACGCGCCCAACCTGGAATGGTAGTTATCGGATCCGACTCCCATACATGCTCGTCAGGGGCTCTGGGCTGTCTTGCTATCGGGCTTGGGGCAGCCGATGTCACTTTGCCCCTGGTAACAGGAGAAACCTGGTTCAAGGTTCCTGAATCGGTGAATATCCGCTTAACCGGCGCTCCCAAACCCGGGATTGGGGGGAAAGATACCATTCTCTATATCCTCCAGCAGCTAAAGCGAAACACCGTTGCAGCGGATAGAATTGTAGAATTCAGTGGGCCAGGCGCGAAACATCTTTCCTGTGATGCCCGATTTGCTATCTGCAACATGACAACTGTAAGCATCATCCACACCTTCATCCTACAGTGAAGCACTAACAAAAACTAGGAGTTTGGCGGTATCACTGGAGTGTTTGTACCGGATGAGATTACAGAAGACTTTATTCAAAGACGTCATCTGCTCCGACACAAGAATGCCGGCGTTTACTTCCAACCGGACGAAGATGCCGTCTACGCCGAAACTCATACCATTGATCTCGGTAACGTCCGTTCCTTTATAGCCAAATATCCTAATCCGGACGATGTTGTACCCGTCACAGACGAAGAGGGCATGGACTTGGACGGATGTTTTATCGGCGCCTGTACTACCGCAGAAGAGGACTTGATTCTGGGTGCTCTCGTTCTCGAACAGGGATTGAAGAATGGCTTGAAGCCCATTCCTAGAGGGAAGAGAAAAGTCGTCCCGGGATCGATGCCCATCCTACACAGACTACAGGAACTAGGACTTGCAACATTCTACGAGGACGCCGGCTTTGAGATCGGTATCCCAGGGTGCAGTTATTGTGTCGGGATGTCCGCCGACCAGGCTGGGCCCGGAGAAGTGTGGCTTTCCTCGCAGAATCGGAACTTTGAGAATCGGATGGGTAAAGGTGAGTTCTTCTCATTACGTTTGGAGTTTCCTCTATGCACTGGGTCAGTAGCATCGAATAACAAGATGAACTAGGATCGATCGGAAACTTATCCTCAGCAGCGACAGTAGCCGCCTCATCGTTCGAGATGAAAGTCCGGGACCCACATGAACTACTGGCAGCTATTGACCTGGAGCGATGGAATCGTCTTCGAGGGATTTCTTCGTGTAAAGCTTTACCGTCGGTGTCGAAGGGCCCAACATATGTTGAACCAAGTGGCGCTCCCACAAACCCAAGAGGGTCGAATGTACAGACTCCGGGTTTATGTCACTCGAAATCCCGTTCTGGGCACGATAAGCCCTCTGATGGGAACATTATGAGAGGGAAAGTCCAGCTACTTGGCGACTTCATCGACACGGACGCAGTACGTACACCTGATTCTATATGACCAAGGCGTTGAAACTCATATTGCCATGTAGTTGGCTCCGGCCATGTTTTTGATGAACATGAAAACGAACGAAATCAGCGGATCGCACTGTCTACAGCTGACGCACCCCGAGTTCCGCCAGCGCGTCAAGGCCGGGTTTAACATTATTGTTGCAGGCAAAGCTTTCGGGTGTGGGTCATCACGAGAGCAAGCCGTAATGGCGCTTCTAGGTAAACCACTACCAGATCTTTTCATCGTCGACGCAGTATTCGTCTAATGTTTTCCAGGCTGTGGGGTCCAGTGCGTTATCGCCAAGTCCTTCGCCTTCATCTTCCAGCGGAATATGCCAAATCTCGGTCTCCTGGGTATCACCATGACTGACGATGCTTTCTATGAGTCTGCTGCGGATGGGGCCGAGATCTCGATCGATTTCACGGCGAGATTGATCGAGGTCGATGGGAAGCGGTTCGGCTTCGAGCTCAGTCGTATGGAGAGGGAGCTTTTCAAATATGGTGGTATTGCATCTGCGTTCCAGAAGTTTGGGAATAGTTTGTTTGAGAAGATGACGGGCCCGAAGAATCTGGGTGGTGCGAACGAGATTTCGGTCGAGAATGAGGGTGCTCATCCGCATGCTGGTTTGCAGTGGTAGTAGTCATTAGCTACGGCTATCAATCCAGATTATCTTTTTTTTTTATGATCTTAGTCCCCGCGGACATTTGTTGGGAATAAGGCACTTGAATACCTCCAATCACGCTTGTTGCGGGGCCAAGGCTCTGACAGGTAACCGATGTCCCAATGAGTTCCTTCATGGTCATAAAAAATTTTCTCTACTTTTAACATCAGTTACAGAGGCGAATGATCCTTCGAATTTACCCTTGCACGCCCAACAAAGCATCAGCATCTAAACTGAACGGAAGAAGAGCCAGTATCTCCGCATCAACTACATCTTCCAATGTTAACCCATCAACATAAGCCACGTCCTGGGATGTTGTGGAATTTGGATCCTGGATAGATACATTCTGACCTCTTGTTCCTATCAGTCGGAGATCAGTGGGACTGTTTGTGAGACCCGCATACAGAATATAGCAAAACATACCCCCAGGAGGCGTATTCTCCATACTTCTCTGCCCACCAAATTCCTCCCTCCAAGTCCATAACGAATCGTGCAATAAACTCGCTGCTAAGCGCGTCTTCAATTTCAATCCAGGTTCCTTGTCACGTTGTCCGCTTCTAGCCTGAGCACTCCAGAGCTGAGTGAGGATTTTCGATGTCCGACCAGGAAGATCGTTATCCTCGATTGAGACTCTGCGGCTGAGAATCATCGCAGAGGTGAATGACCGTTTCCCATTTTCGATATCTAGGAAGATGCTCAGGTTGGAGTAAATCAATTTGAGAATAAACATAGAGGCTAGACAGACGACACGGAAAAAGGAAATGGGGCTGTATTGTGTAGCATCTGAGCCAGCATCGATATGAGCGAGTTTAGATATTGTTTCTGTGGATATCTTATAGGCACGGAGAAGGGCTCGTTTGCGGGAATCAGAGTCACTGGTCTCTAGGAGATAAAAGACGTATAGTTGGAGACCCGCTCCATTGAGAAGGACATTGTTCTCATCTATAGATGACTCTAGATTAATGACTATACTGATTATTATTGACAAATCAGCACAAACCCACCTGATAGATTGTCAGAGAAACCATAGCAGAGCTCTGTATATTCTCGCTCCAATAAAGCAAGAAGTGGGATTCCATCTCCTGGGCGGGGAAGACCGGTCGGTCCATGCGGATGACCAGACATGAACTGACAGACGCGGGCCATGAATCGGGATATCATGAGCTGGTGTTTAAGTGATGTGGGTATCATGCCGGTGATGTCTCCATCGCAGAGGCGGTCAACCATCCAGTCGGAGGATACCCACGTTTGGCCATCTGTGGTTGAGACTCTAAATTCCGTATATATCAGACCTCCAATCTATATGGAAAGGGTTAGACAAAAGACGTACGTTTGCGCTGCAATATAGCATGTTGCCCATGTTCGAGCGGTCTCCTTTATTTCATCGGGACTCAGCCGTCGCTTTGTCCGAGAAAAGTCCTGAATAGCTTCGGGACGATGTAGTCCCAGTCGAACAGCAACGGTGTGAGCTGCAGACAGCAAAATAGGCGTTATATCGGAAGATAGTGAGGAGGTGGGAAACGGCCACAGGCACGCAAGGAGGATCGCTTGTACAATATGCCAGGTGTGCGGAGGATTGGCAATGGCATCCCAAAGTATTTTTTTCACAGGTCCTGTAAGACTTACGAGTAGGCCAGGTTCCTCTGAGAACCGTCTAGACGCAACGAGAACGATGACCCAGAAAAGCAAAGGGGAACGCGCGTAGTATTCATCCGGCGAGACTGCTGGGTCAAGGAGGGGTGCATATGGATTATAGTGATGGAAGAAGCTGCCACTTGTCAGCACGTATTACATGAGTGCGGTTGACAGCACTAACTAACATTTGAAACAGCGTAGAAATCTGTGTTCCCGTGAAATGAAGGAATTCAAGGGTCCTTGGGGCGGTGGAAGAACTTGGCAGGGCCAAAGTTGCGGGTTCATCCGGTGTCTGACCTCGGACTGCGCGGACCGGCGTGCTATGATCCAGGGTCTCTGCCGAGATATCTGGTAAAAAAATGTCCTCATTGACGAGAGACGAGCCCTGTTCGACAACAGGTGATGCATCTGCGTGAAATGATTCGATTGGAGTCGGTATATTCGGCACAGACCGGGACGCGGAGACAGATGACCGGAGATGCTGAACCTCCTTCTCTAACTCCTCTAGTCTCCTGCACATTATTATAATCAGATACACCCGTTCAACGAGGAGGAAGCAAGGTTTGACTTACTCCCTCCTGTTGACGCGTTGATAGCCAGTGTCCAGTGTGCAATCATGGCCCATGCGCCGGCATCTCGAGCACGGAATCGGCCCCCCGGTAGAAAGCTCACAGCGGATCTGGGTAGACAGGGTGAGGTGCGTTCATTACAGAAATTGACAAGATGAAAAGTACTTACCTTCGCCTGGCGGCATTGCCTACATGCGATTCGTTTACTGCGATGGCGAGATGATTGCGGCCCTGGGTCTGGCGGTCGCTGCCGACGCGTCGTCCGATCCATTCTGTAGTAATGACAGAGATCCGTAACTACTATATCACCAAAACTATATCAGAGAATAACTGAGAATGCTGCTAAATGGAATAATCAGTCGGGCTAATGGCATCCCTTATGCCAGGTACGGCGGTGCTTGGGAGATGATGTCGGTGATGCGAGCCCGAAAACGGGCCGCGAGCAGTTACTTACTTGGGTTTTCATGTTAGGAATACCGTAGATAAGCACCGTAGTCTCCCCGTTAGCGGGCCTATGTTTTTAAACATTATCAGATACCTAAGTTAACAGGTATCTTACGTCTTGCTTTCATTTACCAGCCCTTTCCTACCATTCAGAAACAATCAGAATTCGCGAAACTTTTTATATTGAGTTGTTGAGTTGTTGAGATGTCGAAATTTATCGAACGATCCCTGGCCTGGCTTCTCTACACCCGTCGTGGCCACGACGCCGGCCTACTCCATAAATCAGCCCCCTTCGCCCTGCATCACACCCCAACAATAGAGGTGGAATGTTCCATCGGACCCTCAGGATCCCCCATCCCATCCAAATTCAGCTCATTTGAAGAAGGCCATTTCCCGACGCTATCTTGGACGCCGCAGCAGAATGCCGCTGAGTATCTTCTCATTCTCGAAGATCCCGATGCGCCTCTCGCGGAACCCGTGGTTCACGGACTCTACTACGGCATTCCCGCCAGCAAGACCAGTCTTTGCCACGACGACTTTTGTCCCGTTGGTAATACGGGAGAATGCAACCTTCGTGGGGGGTTTCAAGTATGGACTCAATCGGCGGAAGGTTGTTTACATGCCCCCTAGAGGGTTTCTAGGTCATGGACCTCATCGGTACTTCTTTCAGATTGTGGCTTTGAAAGAGGCACTCGATCAGAGTAAACTGAGAAGGCCTGCGTCGAAGGAAGAAATAAGGCAGGGATTACAGGATAAAGTCATTTCCTGGGGGTGTTGGATTGGGATTTGGGAGAGGACAGAGTGATAGGAATAGCGACTTTGAAGTAGTGATCCGATATAATTTTTGTGGGTGGAGTAGGCGATGCAATGATAGAACTGGATTGTGAAGTATTTCCGATACGAGATCAAGAATCTTACTAGGTAATCACCAAACATTGTAAGAGCCAAGAGTAGACCTCACCATCAACTCAGTCAAAGCGCATTCCGCCGCCGGGCCGTCAACGGCCTGCGAGGAAGATGCTGTTTCACTTTATAAAGTCGGCTCCCTGATATGCATTACCCGAACCATTTGAACTACTATCGTTTCGTCCGTACTAAGAAATTCGACCGGTGTTCATAATGGCAGCCAAGGCAGTTCTAAGGGCCGAATCTGATGAAGGTGTCACTCACCAACTATGTTCTTGGGTAGACGGTCTGACGCTGGATGATATCCCCGAGGACCTGAAGACTCGCGCCAAATACCTCATGCTAGATGGCTTTGGGTGTGCTATTGTAGGGGCCCATTTACCGTGGACCGAGAAAGCCGTGAGCATCGTTCTGGATATGGAACCGGCTGGTGACTGTCTTGTGTGGGGATACGGCAAGGTCAGCACCATATGATCTGAAGGTGGTCCTTGTTAACGTCGGCATAGAAAATCGGACCACTACCCGCAGCTCTTCTCAACAGCACCGAAGTGCAATCGTTTGAGTTGGATGATTGGCATTCGCTCGCCCCGGTGCATGCTAATTCCATCATGCTGCCTGCTCTACTCGCTGCAGCATCTCAACAGAAAGCCCGTGGAAACGCAGTAGTCACCGGTTCGAATCTACTATTGTCGACCATCGTCGGATACGAGGTCGGACCACGAGTCGGGCTCTGTCTGTATGGAAGCCACATGCTGACCAGAGGATGGCATTCGGGACCGATCTTCGGCCATGCGGCCTGTGCTGCATCTGTTGGGAAACTGCTGGATCTATCAACTGAAGCAATTGAGGACGCGGTCGGTATTGCCTGCACGCAGGCATGTGGGCTAATGTCAGCGCAATTCAGCAGTGAGGCAAAGCGCATGCAACATGGGTTCGCAGCTAGAAATGGTCTCTTCGCCGCTCTGTTGGCCAAGGGCGGGTATTCTGGGATCAAACGCGTCTTTGAGGAGCCATACGGGGGATTCCTCAGTGCGTTCGGAGAGGGATCTGGTAAAGAACCACCGTATCTGGCAGACGAGCTCGTCAAGGGCCTTGGTAAGACATGGCAAACAGAGGCAATTCGAGTAAAGCCACACGCCTCGATGGCAGGGACTCATTGCACAATTGATACCGTGGCAGGGCTGCAGAAGGATCATCCAGAGGAGCTTGAAAACTTGACTTCAATCGTTAATATTAAGATCGAGATGTCGGAGGCAGCTTTCAAGCACGGCGGATGGACGGCTACACGACCGCTGACGGCAACGGGGGCTCAGATGAGCTGCGCGTATGTGGCTGCTACTCAGCTGGTGGATGGTCAAGTCCTCCCGCAGCAATTCCATCGTGATCTCTTGAATCGGGATTCTATATGGAAGCTTGTGGAGAGGACTGAATGCCACTATACACCAGAGCTTGGTCAAAAATTCGAACAACGCGTCACGATCACATTCAACGATGGTAGCAGTATCTCAAAGACGCTGGACGCACCCACTGGTGTCGATCCCCCATTGTCAAACGAAGAGATCTTGACCAAGTTTCGCACTTTCACTCGGGGTTTAATCGATAACAAGCGACAAGAGGCCATTGAGAAACTGGTTCTGGGATTGGAGGATCTTGCCGATGTTTCTGTTTTAGACGAAGTTCTCGCTGGTTTGACGCTTGATCCAATTGCTTAATCCTAGATAAAAACATTCTTGGTCTGTTATATAGTGATGAGGGGGGACTATTCCGGGGATGCAATATCGAGTAGCTTCAGAAATTGTGATAACTCGGACGCTGTCGGTCTTGAGCATACTTGCCTCTATCATAGTAATTCTAAAATACGAGATAGTTAATGAGTTCGATCCATACTACTTAAGTAATAAATGGGGCGGGGACCTTAGCTAACAGAGCAGTTCTAATCACAGGCGGGAGCTCCAAAATAAAGTTATGGGGATACTGCAACTAACAACAACAAATGACAAGGTCGCAATCCTTATTCTCAAGATTTTTGGGAGTGAAAGAATAACTAGCTCAGTCCTTCATCCAAAATCAGAACCGGTAATTATCCAGGATGAATTGAATTACTAAATTTAATCATTTTATACTTAACGGTGTTTTAGATTTTAAATATGCTCAAGATGTATATTCGAATCCTCGCTCAATATATCCAACACGTCATTCAGAAAAGGCGCGAGGAAATGAATGGAGATAAAGGAGCAGAAACAAAATTGTCCTGGCCGTGGCGGCCTAACAACTGTTGTGCATGATCGCGGCAGTTTAATGATACTAGAATACTCTGATCGATCTCGAGGATCGCCCTAGTGTGGCTTCCAGAGCGCCTCGATTGCCCGCAGGGAAATATTATTCAACGCCACAACAGCTAGAGCCGGGATAAGGACAACAGTGGCCAAAGGACAGACTCACGTAGTTTTGGTGGCGGATTGGTTTTAGATCCGGTAAATACGGCCGGTACCAGTCTCCAGACTTAACGTTTATCTTAATGTACATAGGATAAAACAGTACATATAGGAACAAGTAGACAGTAAGGTAATGTGTTACGCTTTATGTGTTACGCTTTATCCTGCTCCGCTAGCAAGAATGGCATCCCAAAAAGCCTGCAAGGAAACTAACGTCAGTCAAAATAGTCAAGTAGGTTTAGGACACCGATGAAAGGTTACCCAATCGATAGACTCCGGATTCATCCACTGCACGCCATCAATCCAATTATCAAAAGTGATTCCAAACTCGCCATTTATCAAGGTAGACGATCGAGCTCGTTCAGTAGAAAGTAAGGCCCTTTCAAAAATTAGCCGCTCGCATTACACTAACGAAGGCATGATGGCACTTACTGAAGGTGACAGAGAATAGGATAAGCCTTGGCACAGACCTGGCTTTTGTTTCGCAGTTTATCAATACGCGCAACAGCGGCATCAAAATCGGGGCGATATGGCGATAGGTCAACTGTCTTTGGCTCATCAAGCAAGCAAGATGCCAGTGCTATGGCACCGTGAACAGCGTAAAAGCTTGTCAGGCCAGACAAGAGCCATCTGTAGTGACGTAAGCGCGGAAGATCGCAGAACTGACGATGCACATCGAGTAGGGACGTGCCGGAGATGATGCACTTCGCTCTGGACGCAGATCGGAAACAAGGACCCCGCGGCTTGCAGAAGGGGCGATGTAGAAGAAGATATAGTTGGTGTGCGTAAAGCTGCAGAATACACCAATGTGCATAGCTTGCTGGATCCAAAAGACTCGGCTCTCCATCCAAGAGGAATATTGAATCCCACTGCCGCTGTTCCTCTGCAACTTGGCTATCAAAAAGACTGAGCGCAGCCTCGTTATACTTTGAATCGCTAGCCAGATGGCGACAGATTTTAGTAGAAAGCTGAAACATCTGGATCTTGAATCTCATAAGGGACATCTGCGTGGGTTGGCTAGATGGCTCGAGGACAGCGTCGGCTGTAATATCGTGGTCGTTTACATCAGCAGGCATTGTGGCATCGATATTGAGCAGCGCGGACATGTCTATATCGCGGAAGAAGGTGGCTTGGTAGGTATGAAGAAGCAAAATGCCGGCCCAACAACGACGTCGGCGTTCAACTTCTATGCAATTCATTCGCTGAGTACCGGGCCCAACATTACATTTTAGTGCAATCCCAATGTTCAAAGTTAAGCCTATTCGGCGCAGCGGTTAGAAATGCCTGGAAATTGACCGTGGATCGCAAAGAAGAAATTACCTAATAATGTCCAAGAGCGCTCGGCTCCTTCATGGTTACTGATTGTGTAGATAAGTATAAGAATAGCTTCCAAGGTACTGAGCTTATGACGTATCATAAATTGATCCTGCGAGAGACATGTCATGGCAGCTGTTCGGAAACGATATGCCATTTCTGAGATATTATGAGGGCGAGAGTTGTCTGGCCAGAGTTCAGTCAACATGCAATTGTCGTTCCCCATAGTGTTCACAGTAGCTGAGCAAATTGCAAACAGCAGTGCCACCCAAGAAAGGTCAGCATGCGAGTGGTTTTGTCTGAACGCATTGTATTGTTTCTGGAATGTTGGTCCATGGAGTATATGGAATAACGGCGATAGACGCGCGAAGTATTCTGTGACAAGGTAATCGCAGCAGTGAGCTGGAGGCAAGATCGCTATTATTTCACTTCGCGACACAGTTGGCCCCAAAGGAAATGGGAAACACAATGTTCTTGGTGACATCAAAGGGTCATTTGGATCCGGTGCCAATTGGCAAGTTTGGTCCGTTGGCCGCTGTAGGAGGGCATCCCATTGACCATGGGTGTCATTTTGTCGGTCTTGGTCTTGAGGCGCCGTGGAAGTTGCTGAAATCGAATTTGAGAAGGCCGGACTTGGATTCTGTTCCAATGGGACCAGGGGGTCCCCCGTCTCGGTAGTTTTCCCAGCCTGAGATGATATTAAAATTGGAGATGGCGCAGGCCCTGCGTCAGGTCTTAGGTTTGGCGTATCGGGTTGGCTGCGTCTATAAGTGCACGCCTCGGCACACTCCCGTCGTTTGCACGAGCCACAAGGATATTTCCTGTCGCATTTCAGCTTCGAGTGTCGACAAGGTCCACAGCTGACAGGTTTCCGAGGACGTCGTCTGTGAACCAGATATCCCGATTTGCTCTCCCGTCTAGCAGGTGATCTCTCGCAGTCACGGCGTTCAGTTTCCCCACCTTCTCGGTTCTCCAGGGTTGCTTCGGCCATACTTGTTCCTGGTGGAGAGGAATGAAGTAGCCTCGGAAATATCTCTCATCTCAAGAAGAACATATGTTTTAAAGAAACCCGGGCGATCGAGAGGGTGGATGTAGATCATGGGGTTGCGGAGTTGGGCGGACTAACGCGGCCCCGAGTCGGAATCCCCGCATTTCCCCGCATTTCATCGTCTCCCCCGGATTCCAGCAGCCGTGTCAGGTACGCCAGAGCCAGCAACCCGCTCAATCATCAGTCATGGAATCAGCTTCAAGAAGGCTTCCAGTTAGTTGTGAGAATTGTCGACGGCGGAAGATTCGTTGCTTGAACTCCGAAGAGAAGGCTCCGTGTGATACTTGCCTTCGTCGGGGATATGCAGCTACTTGCACATTCAGACGGGAATCCGTCTCACAGGCGCCCGCTCCAAGCGGCGAATTATCGAAGCAGATCCTCGATCTTAGCAGCCTCATCAAACAAAATATCAGTCTGACAACAGCGTCGCTTGAGCAACAACGAGGTGTGCGACCCTCAGTCTCTCCACAGTCTGAACCGACAAGTGGAATCGCTTGCCCAGCGAGTGATGACACGAATACTCAAGCTTTTCCGACGGGTCGACTATTGATCTCAGCGTCCAGTCATGTCCAATGTCTTCCGTTCAACAGAGTTGGGGATGCCAGCCTACTTGAATTGATACAGGAGCCTGTGTGCAACCCATTTGCCAGCTTTCCTTTCTCTGCAGGAACCTCAAATATTCAACATGACATCTTTCACTCCTTGCCCTCCTTTAACCTTTGCGACAAACTCAAAGATATATTTTTGAATGTATTCTCTCCACTCTTCCACATTCTCCATGAACCTACATTCGAAGCGAAATATCGCGACTTCAAACAAGATCCTCAATCAACGCCTTTGTCGTTTCTCGCTTTGATGTTCGTGATATTCTCATTATCCATCACCTCGCTGGATGATCACGATCCACTGTTAGCTGAGATTGAACATGGTAGCAGTCCAAGTGGTAATGCACAAAGTTTGGCGTCTAGATATCGATCCGCCGCAATGAAATGTTTGTCCGCAGACAACTTCATGAGCCAGCATAACTTGTGCACACTACAATCTCTTATTCTTTTGATTTATGCCCTTAGCCACGCAGGTGCGCCGGTGTGGTCATTGCTGGGATCGACCTTGCATATCGCAATAGCGATTGGATGCTCTGTGGATCCCGACCAATTGAACGTGCATATTATTGAAGCCGAGGAGCGTCGCCGCTGCTGGGCAGCATTGATGATGCTCTATACGATCCAGAGCACGTGCTTTGGCAAAATAATGCCCTTTCAGATCCAGGCCAATGTTGCTCTTCCAGCTAATGTGGATGACCACGATCTGATAGATGCTACGAGGGACTCCATTCGGTCTTCTACCCAAAGGTTGACCCAAATGTCTTATCTACTCTGCAAATTTCACTTGTATAACCTTGGGTTTCAAATATGCCGGATCTCATCCTCAAACATACTTCCATCGCGCGATCTGGTAGTCAAGTTAGATGAGCAACTGGGAACGGAGCTTAAAAGACACATGTCTCTTTTCGAGAACGTGGTCGATATGCCTTTCTACCACGTGGCACACTTCTATATTGTCAGCAACTATACTCATCATCTTATCCTTCTGTTGCATCGTCCATACCTCGGTGCCATCGATGGCGTACAACTTGGTGAACCTCTGGGAGCGCATGTCCGTGAGAGCTGCCGACGATGCAACGATTCCGCCATGAAGATACTCTCCAATTTCGAGAGTTTCCATCATAATCCCCAGTTAAAGCCGTACCGCTGGTACATCAATGGTTTCGGGTCTTTCCAAGCATTCATGGCAATCACGACTCTCTTGGTAATAATGACCAAGACCGAGATCTCGCCAACGTTAAATCTCGCTATAACAACGGCTATCAGGACCTGCATGGACATATTCCGAGACATGGCGGGGAAGAGTGAACTGTGCGCTAAAGCACTGGCGGTCTTGGAACCTTCGGTTCGAAACCAAATGTCGGACATCCAGCAGGCCCCTTTGGGGGAAACGTCCTTTATAACGCCGCCAACTTCGGTACCAGACCGCTCTATTTCAGATAGTTGGGACAACCTTTCATCATTGGAGAACTGGATCAGAGACATTCCCTCGGATCAATGGTTACTGCCATCCGGATTCCCTTGGGGTAGTCTACGTTGACGTTACAAAGGCTTCTCAATCAATTTTTCCGGGGATCATCGGTAATTTGTCGTGATCTAGGATCACAGAAGCAGGATGGCTAGCAAATCATTTCATACGGGAATATGATCTTGATTGCTTGAATAACCAGAGGATACCGGACTTTATCGAGTATTTATGCCCTAGGACTTCATGCTGTTCGATTTCTGCATTGATGACTGCTTCCGTCCCTATTATCTGCGCATTTCCTACTCCTGGTGTTTCTGCTGTGATCTTATACAGGTGGAGATAGGTGGCTTGATGATTCTTGCTCTACATCCTTTATATATATAATGGTAGTGGTGCTTTACACCTCGCCTCCAATAAAGCAGTTTCGCGCCAACATAATGCTTGTGTCCAATAATCATAAGCTCGATGTTGACAGTTAAAAGGTCTAGAAAATATTAGAACCATCATAGACCAACTTGTTCTTTTTGTCAACGAAACTAAATCCTTATAACTTCCGAGCTACTGTTTCTCGAAACTACTGTCTTCATTGAACAGTTGAGAAGATAGTCAATCAAATATCTTATTATTCCATGTCTTAGCGCCTTAGTTCACCCTTGACCTTAAAGTGATGAACAAAGCTGGAAGAACGCTTGAAATTCTATAGGTTGGTCCTATAGAATAGTTGGATCATTTCAAATAACAACAACAAGAACAAGACGATGGCGAGCGCATTTTAAGACATGAAGAACGAGGAATTCCTGGAACTGAAAAGGGATAGACGAGATAAATGACATGGTTAGAAGAAAACGAGGCAAAAGAAGAAAACAGGCAGGACAAGGCAAAGGGAAATCAGTACAATGAAAGAAAGTGTGTTCAAGAGACTTCTATCACTGTCAGGCTTTGAGCTACTCGGCTGCCTCGAGTCTTGATATTTCTCAGACTCTGCGAAAAGGGGCTCAGCCTGACTATCCTCTAGTCAAGCGAAGGTCCTGATGTGTCGATTTACAGCGTCTGCATTTTCATAGACATGCCAATGCCCAGTGCAAGGAAGGACTTCCATATGTGATCCCGGAAGCTTCTCATGAAGATTTTTCACCACTGCAACTGGTGATGTTTTGTCTTCATCACCTGTCATGAGTAGGATGGGCATTGTGAGTCTTTCAAGTTCTATCGACGAGGAAATTCCAGCGAGTGCCATGCAGGCCTTGGCATAACCCTCTGGATGAGTTGCTAGAAGAGACGCGCGAACAGCTGCGTAAGCAACAGGCTGATATATCTTAGTAGTGCTAGATGTCCCGGCATTACCGACAGCATCAGCGGTTCCGGAGCCCATCATGCCTTTCTCTCGAACCGCAGCTGCGCGCTTTGTCATAGCGACTTTACTTTGTTCTGGCAGAGGGCAGGGGGGTGGTCCCATTAGGATCATTCGGTCAATCTTGCCGCAGTTGCGAGCGGCGAAAGCCATCGCTATCAGGCAACCCAGAGAATGAGCGAAAACAGTAACAGTTGTGGCTCCGGTAAAGTCGACGACATTAGCCAGATCCTCAGCAAAGCTATCAAGGTTGACAACCGATGCAATATTTGAGGGCGTTAATCCATGGCCTTCGAGATCATATATGTAGCTTGTGTAACGGTCTTCAAAGCCCACGTGTTTGATAATGGGTGTGAAGTATTCGCTTGATGCACCAAGACCATGAACGAAGACTGCAACCTTTGGGCCGTTTCCAATCTTGTGGACGTTAACTTGCTTCTTACCAAGCTTCGTCAGTCCTGATCCACCGACTGTATTCTCAAGGTTGAGTGTGGCAAGGTGGGTTTGCAAAGAAACTTGTTTGACAACAGCGTTCTCTGACGTAGGACTCCCAATGGTGTTTTGAAGACAGCCAAGTCCGGTGACGGATACTTCAACTATAGTGCACAGATAGCATATTAGGTTCAGCTTGTATGAGAAACAACGATCGTTAAACTCACCTTTGTCTCCGGGCTTGAGGAACTTAGGAGGGTTCTGGCCAAATCCGACCCCAGCAGGAGTGCCAGTAGCGATGATATCTCCGGGTCGAATGGTGCTTGATTCGGATATCGTTTTGACGAGTTTTGCAACAGAGAAAATGAGGTCATCTGTTGTAGCTTCCTGGCGCTTTTCTCCATTGACGAAGGTTTGTATTCGAAGGGTATTGGGGAGGTCGCTTGCTGGAACTGCAACCGGGCCCATAGGACAGAATGTATCTGGTGACTTTCCAATATAAAACTGCTTGTGGTCTCTCTGCTTTTCACGAGCTGTCACGTCGTTGATAATTGTAAATCCCCACACATAGTCCATGGCATCCTTTTCTTTAACTTGAAACCCGGGTTTGCCGATGATAACACCAATCTCGCCCTCATAGTCTAGAGTACCAGTGAATCCGGGATGTGGGAAAATTGGGTCCCCGTGAGCAACGATACTCGTAGATCGCTTTGTGAAGATGACCGGATGAGTGGCTATAAACCTCATTAGTGATGTTTTCCATTGCGGAAGAGACATTTGACTTACGCTGATCGGTCTTGTCGCTAGAGTCGTATCCGCTGCGGTTGAACTCGATAGCATGGTCAAAATAATTCTTACCAACGGCCAGGATATCTCGGTCGCTAATAGGAGCTCTTATAGTGACGCTGGAAATAGGCAGCTTGTCACCATACTCGACAACGGCATTCTCTAATTCAATCACCTCGTAAAGAGAGGTGACCGGAGCCCCAGAAAGCATCACCAAAGGCGTAATCATAGAGCTGTCAATGTCCAAGTGGCCAACACGAGCACGTTTCTGCTCATCAAGGTAGGCAACATAGTTGTGGAATTTCTTCTTCGGCTTTGAAGTCGGCTCGGGTGCACGGGAGGGAGAGCTCTGAAAACTGAAGTCTTTGGGAGAGGCTTTGTGGATTCTGCCATTTATCATGATGACATTTAGTTTTGTGTGGTCCTGAAAGATGGTAATATCCTCCAAAGGATTGCCATCAACGAGGATCATGTCTGCATAAAAGCCAGGCTGAATTTTTCCCAACTCATGCTCTTGCATGAAGAGCTTACCAACTCCAGCGGTGGCTGCGATGATTGCTTCCATCGGAGTAAAATCGAGCAACTTGACGAAGTGTTCCAGGTCTCGCGCATAAGTACCATGAGGCGTCCAAGCAAAACCATAATCTCCTCCTCTGGTATATAGGTGTTAGTCTGGTATCTGAGAGCGTACATGTACAACCATGAGAAGGGATTTCATACGGGAGAACAGTAATTCCTCTCTCGTGCATTTCTTTGCATGCCCTGATAGCAATGTCCAACTCTTTCTTATAGCCAGCTTTTTCAGCTTTGTCGAATGAGTAACCAAAAGGGCCAGCTTCATAGGTTGTCGCATAAAGCCAATTAAGGGCAGGAGCAACGACATGATGCTTCTTATTCTTCTCCAACTCGTCCATGGTAGGCTCGTCAATGTAGCTGCCGTGATAAATTATGTCCACGCCATATTTTACGCACTGAGCAATCGAATCTCGAGCTCGGGCGTGAGAACAAACTCGTAGTCCGCGACGGTGTGCCTCATCAACGCATGCAGCTGTCTCAAGTTCGTCGAAGAAGCATTCTTCAGCGGCGCGAGCCTCCAAAATCTAATAGCGGTTAGAATTACATAGTATGATGAGTAGGTAAATGTGTTACCTCTTCTCCCGACATGCTCAATTTTATTTGATCCACGCCAAGCTTAGCATGATGCCGGATAACTTCGCGCATCTCCAGAGGGCCTTCAATAGAGTGAATCGTTAGTCTTAAAGTAGAGCCATAGGCTAGCTTCCTGTCACTTACCATCTGCAAAAGCAGTAATTCCTGGAGTGAGTTCTCCCCCTCTTCGAGCAATCTCTTTTCCATTGGCCAGGTAACGAGGACCTGGGATGCTTCCTTGATTGATGGCGTCGCGGATAACGCAGTCCAGGCGGTCCTTTGCTGAAGCGGCACCGTAACACCTGGATATTTCGAATTAGGCAAGATCAGGGAGGCTAGAGTATGATAACATCCTCACATGGTGTACCCCGAATCTAAATACGTCATGGCTGACCGAGCAGTCGTGATGGTATGTTCCTCCACGCCGATCTCCCCTAAATTGTCTGCGAGATCGTTAACGACTATCTTCGGGAAAAGTAGTCTTTTCATCTTACCAAGAGCAGACCCATTCCACGTCAAGTGAGTGTGAGCATCCCCCAGGCCAGACATCAATGTCCGGCCGTTACCTTGAATAACTCCGACACTGGGATCATTCTGTAACTTTTCAACTTCAGGAACAGTTCCAACATAGCGAATGCGCTCTCCTGTAAAAGGTTTTAGCTTGAGTGCACCACTGAGAAGGGTCCGTATTTGTTACCTTGAACATAAACGTCGCCAGTGTAGGGGTCGGCTCCAGTTGAATCAAGGCTTCAGAGGTCAGCTATGTCTCTTCGGTTGTTCCCAGCTTGAAACCCACATTTTAACATTTAGGAACAGTATCTTCGAGTCATGTGGTGTTTCTATACGCGAGTGAGATAATGTTATTTTCCCTGCGATACTGGCTGTGTGACCTACCAACCATACGATGAGCGCGAGGCTGCAATTCAGCGGAAAATTTGACGTCTTCATGGGGAGAAAGCTTGCGTGTGGGAAGTGGAGACCCCCAATCTGCCATGCTTCTTCCTGGATGCAGTGGCTTTGAGGTGCCGTTGACATGTGTGCCATTAGGCAGAGACGACATTGTGATGCTGGATGCCATGGGTATTTCGACGAATGGATAGGCAATGAAACCCAGCTTTGTAGGAAGATAGAAACGGGACCATGAACAAACAGAAGAAGTACTGGGGAATTTTCAACGATTTATATACCTGTTTCCAATCTATAGACTTTCTGATTCGGCATGAGAAGCTCTCCCCGCAATCAACAGCCCTCCATTTCAATACCCGGGGCTCCTATTGACCTCGACCGGAGTCCTCGTAGATAGAAAGGTAACTCCGGCTGCGGATCTTGAGGGGTCGGCAGCACCCCGGTCTTAATCCCAGGCTTACTAGTAGTAAATGACGTAGAAAAGGAAGTAGATCGCCCTTAGTTATCGGGTCTAGAGTATTACTGCCCTGTCGGAGACGTCGGAAATGACTATGCACGCAACTCCGAGCGGGCATGCAAGGAAGCACAGAAAAGAGATAGATTCTCATGTCGTATGTTCAAACCTTGACGGTTAAACTGAACCGAATCAAAATGCCAATAAACCTCTTTCTCTGGACACAAGATCTGCCGCAGCTCTTAGGCTTTCAAATACCACAATCTACGATGGAATTCCATCTTAATATTCAACAGACCCCTCGATTTGGCCTAGCGACACCCTCAAAACATAATGATGGCGCCGTGGTGTCACATATTGAACATACCGCTGAAAGAAATGGTAGTCATAGACAATTCCGAGACAATATTCGACACGGAGAAATACGACACGATAGACACCACAAACGCCATCGTCTCACTCCCTTCCATCATCAGAGCGATCCACACCCTCATGACGAACAACAAGAAGGCCGTGTAGCTCTGAAAGAGCTTCCATTTATCGCCCCGGAAAAGGTTGCAAGTGCGAATGGTGCCAATGGCTCTCCAATATGTCAGTTTCATAGCGTTCTCCTTGTAGGATAGACATTGATATTGGTCATAGGGATTGTCATTGACAACATTGTCTACGATGTGACTAAATTTTCTAATGTACACCCGGGTGGCGAGATGCCTTTGAAGAACTTCGCCGGGCAATCGTGTTCCTGTGAGTATTAGTCTCTGCCTTTGATGAAATGACACTGAACTCAGCAACCTACTTAGGGCAATTCCATAAGATTCACAGTAGGAAGACTCTGGAGACTTACGGGGAGAAACTGAAAATAGGGAGGACTGGTGATGTACCCAACCCCTATAAAGAGGAGAGGCCCGGTATCTCTCGTCAACTTTGGCAGTCGCATCACTCTTAACAACAACGGGTAAACCCCTACGCGGTAGCGGTGTTCAACTGTGTAGTTAAGCCATTTCTGCTTTCTCATAATACACCTCTTTCACTATAATGGAGAACGGCATTTCCACCATCTCATATCCATATGTATTCTGTTTTTTTTTTTTTTTTTTTTTTTTTTTTTTTTTTTTTTTTTTTGCAATAGGGAACTTGACTTCTACGGGTTAACATACAGTGGAACTCTAGATTGTGGGGTCGCGGAGATCCGCGGGGAGAAAGAGGAGGTGAACCACGGCAAGCCCGTCGGAGACTCGGAGATGAAACCTTTTCCCCATCAACAAGCGACCCGTAACAATGCAATATTGCATATCGCCGTTGTTGTCCATCACTCCAGATAATAATTATTGCTCTACTCCATAGCAGCCGGCCAGAGTAGAATTAACACGACCGACCACCAATTCCTCTTCCTTTGTCCCGTCGATGTTCCCGCCACTACTTAATGTGTTTAAACATCCGTGAACGGACAAGAAATACAGCATACTACTGCCAAAGATCTGATCTTCTCAATTACGACCCTCCCACATTGCTCGGTCGCTCTCACATTTTCGCGATGACAGTCAATGCTACCGCTGCAAAGTTACGAGCTCCGATCATCTCAAAGACGGCCACATCTGCCTTGAACTATTTCGCAAGCCAACTGCGCAGTTCTACCACCAGCAGCGATTATTTGAGAATATGCACCAGTTTCTCTCGATAGCCTGAAGCTACCCACGGAGTAATGCTTGGATTCTCTAGCAAGCGAGGCGTATTTATCCCCATAGTTGGAGTTAGCCAGGAAGGTACAGGAGGGAGGGGGGAGATCCAAGAATTACGAATGTTCGCATACATAATATATGCCTGCAATCAAATTGAAGGGCTGTCGGCCATCGGTAAGGTCATTTGAACTGTGAAGATGAAGTCGAGGTAACTTGGACTTAATCAGCAAATTACGCTCGTGCGTGGATGGCCTATCTGACCACATTGACCGTTTCATTCACATGCTTTTAACCAAGCTATCCGTCTTACGTGTGAACCGCGGGGAAGCTTGGGGAATACGCTTGTGGATCTGTGACAGGTTAGTAACTATGTACTATCCAATGCATATGCGAGATGAGACGGGCTAAGATCCACCAGTACAAAAGCGTACCAAAGCTACTGGTACTAAGTTACTCCGTACCACGCCTGCCTAGCTATTTATTATTAGTCGATCCCATTGCCATTGCGTCCACGTTGCTGCTTTGCAAAAATATCACAGCGTCTCCCCAACACCGGTCACAATGGAGCTACGCTACAATACCAAGGACGAGATTCTGGCGGCTCACGAGGAGCTGCGCCGCTCCTTTGACTCTCATATCACTCTGGACATCGAGTTCCGCAAGCATCAACTCAAACAGCTCTCTTTTCTCCTAAAAGACAACGTGGACGCGCTTGCCGACGCGATCAGGAAGGATCTGGGTCGTTGTCGTTTCGAAACTGTGTTTGCCGAGATCATGGTCACCACCAACTCTGCGGTTGAAGCACATCAGAATGTTGATTCTTGGGCTAAGAATGAATCTCGCTGGGCTGGTGCAGTGTGGGCTTTCCACAGCCCGACTGTGCGCAAGGAGCCTAAGGGGACCGTGCTTGTCATTGGAGCTTGGAACTATCCCATCTCTGTGCAGATCGGGCCCATGATCAGTGCGATAGCCGCCGGCAACACCGCGATACTGAAGCCATCGGAGGTTGCCGCTCATTTCGCGAGCTTGCTGGCCGATCTCTGGCCCAAGTACATGGATCCACGCATGACCCGGGTTATCAATGGTGGTGTTGAAGAGACAGGCCAGCTTCTAGACCTCCGGTGGGAGCATATCCTCTACACCGGCAACGGACGAGTTGGCAAAATTGTGGCCGAGAAAGCGGCACAGTGGCTGTGTCCAACGACGTTGGAGCTTGGAGGAAAAAGTCCTGTTTTTGTCGACGAGAGCGCTGATTTGAAGATTACCGCCCATAGAATATTGTGGGCTAAATCTGTCAATTGCGGTCAGACTTGTATTGCTCCCGACTACATTATCTGCACCCCCGGAGTTCAAAGCAAGTTGATCAAGGAATTCGAAATCGCCTATGGTGAGTTTTGGCCCAATGGTCCCAAGTCGTCCCCTGACTACGCTCGAATTGTCAATGAAAGGCAATTTGGACGACTGAACAACATTTTGGAGACCACAAAAGGCTCGATTGTTATTGGTGGTGAGCGGGACGCAAGCATCAAGTTTATGGAGCCCACCATCCTCAAGGACACCCCTCGAGGCGACATCTCCATGTCCGACGAGATTTTCGGTCCCATTCTTCCCATCATCACTGTAAAGGATATGGACGAAGGGTGTTCCTTTGTGAACAGCCGTGACCAACCTCTAGCACTCTACGTGTTTGGAAACAAGAAGGTCACAGAGGAAATCGCACGGAAGACGAGATCCGGAGCTTTGGTTCAGGGAGACCTGATGCTTCATTTTTGTGTTGAGTCTCTTCCTTTTGGTGGCACCGGTCCTTCTGGATACAGCTCATTACACGGAAAAGCGGGCTTCGATACCTTCTCGCATGCTCGAGCCACGATGAACGCGCCGGCTTCCGGTATTCTGGGCTGGATTGTGGAAAAGCTCATGTCTCCTCGTTATCCTCCCTATACGGACGGCAATCTGGCAAAATTGTCGTTGCTCGCCGGAAGAAAACTTCCATTCAAGCGACCTCCTCAAAGTTACCGCGGTGCACCAACTGGTAAGATGACTAGATTCTTCAACTCTACAACGGTCCTCATCCTTTTTCTCGCATTTCTCTATCGTCTTTATGGGGGACAGGCCCTAGCCTTCCTTCTCCGTTGAAATCTCGTTTATAATCTCTTTGCGGAATCTATGTCTACTCCTAATAGTGTTCAAGCTGACAGACCATAAATCATAAGTAGCATCCTAGAGGAGTAGCCAAGCGTGCCCGGAACTGGGGCAGGGAGCTGATCCTAGCCTCGTCTACTAACCAGACTGATGGCCATTTATGTCTAATCTATATACGGCTGGTAGGAAGAACTGACTAAGATATAAGACTCTTTGCCTTGCATTTTGCTTCAACACCGCATATGCTGATCTTCGTGTAACTATCCACGCTCTGCAAATAATATTAGACACCTCTGAAATGCGATAATCTTTTTATTCTCTTAGGCAATCACGTCTCATCTGGTGACTGTAGGACTATCTTCTAGTTCTTTGTCACCTTGAGGATCACGAATTGCTGGCTGTCGTCACGAGATATCTTTTGAATCAGCTTAGGCGACAGAGCATCTCATCCTTGAGCTACCAGATAGCGAGGGACACAATCGCGTGTAAACAGGACTCGATAGCCCAGAAAACACAGGTAGGCCATCGGACTTGGTTTGGCCTGCATTTATCCCCCGCATATGAGACTCCTAAAACGGATCCTTAGCATTATGCCCCGTGGATGGTGAGGCTCTAACTCTACTATTGAGACACTACTAGAAATACTTGAATTTGGCAGTAAAGAGTTTAATTGCCGGAACTCTGAAAGATATTTCAGAGATTACGGTGTCGATCTGGAAGACTCTAGTCTATTTCCTCAAATATACCTTTGCCACGGTGATAGACGTTCGTCTCAGATGCTGAACTACCAGAATGGCGAACAGCGAATCAACATCTGTTAAGCGATCTCGACCAGACTGCAGGTCGGCACTACTGGCTAGATATATGCAAGCTTCTTGGCACCACAAAGGTAAATATGATGGATTTGCAGGTCTCAACATTACATGGAAACATGCTCAGTTGAAAGGGTATATCTTCCACTCTAGGTAACCTAAATATATGCTCGACATTGGAAAGTTTTTCTCCGATTAGTTTATTCATCAGAGGTGTTATTTATCTGCATGATTCTGACCCTGTTCGGACCACCTCCAGGGCCTTGTGTTCCTACACCGCGTCCCAGATTTAGAAAGTCCGATGCTGACACTGCGCTGAAAGCCAGTATACAGCGAAAATCTATCTTCTGAAGAAAAAGAACAGGGTGTGACCCTGTATATTAACAGGATTTCCCTACACCTAGGAAGCCTCTAATTGATTCATCATGCATCCGGTATTTGATACCCCATAGAGAATTGTTAGTTTCAGAGGCAAACCCGTAATGATAATGCGGTTTATTGCTACGCCAGATCTGGTGTAGAGGCACATGACATAGGTTACATAACCTTATGTATGTAGCGATATCTTTAGCATTAGAAGAACCTAGACTTTTTGATATTACTCTTCCCCCCTATTTGCACAGCAAAGTAGTAATATATCCTGATAGTAGATCCGGCTAAGATTTTGCACTGTTAAAAGGAACTCTAGCAAAGAATAATATTGTAGCTAGTAATATAAGACTTTATATTATCTTATCTTTAATCTTAATTAATTTTATATTTAATTTAATTGCTATTATTACTTATATATAATCCTAATTCTATATATAATATTTAGATAATATGTCCTTTTCTATAGGGATTAAAGAATAGGATTATATATGTCTGCTGTAAGTATTGCTAATATAATATCTAATATAATATTAAATTTATATAGCAACTAATAAAAATTAATATAAGAGGAAAATATAAATATAGATAAGTTAAGAAAGAATAAAAAGGCACCTATATAATATATTATAAAGCAGTTTAAATTTTATACAGTATTAATTAATAGGCTATTTATATATTATAATAAATTAACAGATAATCTTTATAAATTAGTTAATAATTACCTAATATAAACTAATCTAATATAAGTAAATAGTGTCTTAGTTATAATGCTATTAAAGAAGGTAAAAGACCTCTATATAGAGGTATAGAAATACTAAATATAGTAAGGCATAGGTTATAATATCCTAATAGTATCCCTACTTAAATAAGCGCAGGCATTCTATATAGGACTAGATTGCTATACTTAGTTTATAGAGTAAATATTATTATTATTAATAATAGGGCAATTAAATTATTAATAATATTTCTTAGAATATTTTTTAGAATAAGAATATTATTTAGAAAATTATATTAAGGAGTTAAAGAAGTAGTTAAATATAATAGTTAAAAAATTAGAATTAAGATAATTAATATAAGAATAATTAGCTAAAAGCTTTAAATTAGGCTAATACTAATTAAGCTTTAGATTAAGCTAATATTAACTAAGCTTTAGATTAGGCCAATGCTAATTATATAATTGCTTATTATATAAATAATATATATAAAGCAGTAGATTATAGAGACTAATATATAAAAAAAAAGCCTTATAATACTAAATCCTAGTATAGAGATAAATAATATTAATAATAGTTAAAACTAAAAGATATTATAATTTTTAACCTAATAGATAAAAATATTTAATTTTTTACTAGGAGAATTAAGATTATAGCTTTTTATAAAGGAGTATATATAGTATTAAATATTTTACCCTTTTACTTAAAGGGCAGAGTATTAGTATAATATATAAACCTACTTAAGGAGATATATAATAAATTAGCTTATTCTTTAGATAAATAGTATTAATTATTAGAAGAGGAGTTTTATTATAATTTAGTTAAGGCTTATTAATAAATATAAAACTTAATCTTTTTATTTACTATAGTAAATAAACTTCTATTAAATAATTATCTTATATAAAAGATTATACTATTAAGAAAAGTAAGTATAATAAATAATAAGGCTATTAAAAATAAGTTATAAGAAGAGTTAGATTTAAAGCTAGTAATACTAATTTATATTAAGCTAAGTAAGCCTATAGAGTAATTTTATTATTAGATATAATATATTAAGACAGGTATATATTAAGAATAAAAGGAATCTTAGTATATATATAGCAGGCTATTATTAATACTGTTTATATAAGAATATATAGATAGGCTCTTTTAGTACTATTAAAAGGCGCAAGTACTAATATAGATATAAGAGCTAGTTATAGCTATTAGCAGGGCAATACTGCTAGTAGTATTGTAGTAGGGAGGATCGGTGTGAAGAATGTAATTAGTCAAGAGGTTATATGCTTTTGCTTGAAGTCTTTAAAAGGTCTACAAGCAAAGCAGGAGAAGAGGGAGATAATACTTTTTAGTTATTCAGAATAAAATAATCAGCTTTTCCTTTCTATTATTGTTTAGTATCAGTTCAGTATTAGATTATTATTGGTTTATTATATCAGTCTATAGCTAGAGCTTCTCCTCTAGCTCTACTCTAAGCTCCGAAGCTAAATCCCCTTCTTTTTCTTCTTAATATCTACTCGCTTAAAAACTCTATGCTAAGTCTTAATATATCTTTCCATAATAAATTAGAGCTAAACACGGGGGGTGTTAAAATATTAAGCAGAAATAAGGGAGAAAGGAAAACTAGAAGCTGAGGTCGAGGCCAAAGCCAAGAAAAGGGGTAAGAAGCAGTAAAAAGATAAGTAAAACAGCTAAGGAAGATTACCACTATAAATAAAAAGAGATAAATATACCTCTTAGATCAGTAGAGACAGCAAATATAATATAGGATGAAAACATATATTAACAATAAAAGAAAGAAAGGATTGCCAAATATAAGGAAGAGCTTAGCAAATATAAAAGGGAAGTAGAAATTTAAAAGGAATAAGAAATTATTAAATAAGAACTATTTATTAAAAAGTGGAAGAATTTCTTACTATTATCTTTGTTACTATTCCTTTAAAAAAATATAGAGAAAAGCACTAATCTTTTTAGCGTTAGTTAAGATAAAAGGACTTTTAGCTCCTTAGTATCGCCGGGTCTAGAGACATAGACAGCTTGAGTATCTAAAAATATAGGACTATCAATAGCGCAGCTAATCTAAATTATATTAGCTCTGCAGATGCTGATGCCTGGAAATCTTAGGGCACTATATTTTAAAAGGGATAATATTACTTATTACCTAAGGCTTTTTAAGAGGCTATATAAGGCGAATCAACTCCCGGAAAAAGAAAAAACTAAATAGTTTGCGGACTATTATAGCCTATTAATATTATTATAGATAAGTACTTAATCTAAATATAAAGAGAAGAACTACCCAAAACTGGCAGAGGCGACCAAATAAGAGTACGCTTATTATGATAAGTATTAAAGGAAATACAATATCTAATAGCTAGAAAGGTTTAAAAATATGAACTATAATAGCTCTGAGGACCTAAGGGAGTATAACTAAGAATATTAAGCTATATTAGAAGCGCTGGTAACTTCAGATAAGTTAAGCCGATATTTATAGGGAGTTTAATATCTTTAAGGACTTCTAGAGGAGCTTAAGCAGCAAGTGGTTTAAGAGTTGAATATAGACTACTATATTTTATCTACTATTAAATATACTAATTTCTATAAGGAGGTAGTAGATAGGGTAAGAATAACTAAAACCCTTCGCTACCTCGACAGCGGCGAACTAGAGAAAGATTAAGATATAGCGGCTTTAACAAAGGAGAAGGTAACTAAAAAAGATAACACATAATTTCTTATTAAACCTAATAAAACCTACCTAGATAAGAATAAGAGTGGGACCAAATAATAGAACATTAAAGTGAAGTCAATAGAGCAGTTATAGATCGATCAGTTAATAAAAGAGTTTGAGAAGTTAAAACTGTATAATATACAGTATATGGGGAGGCTTAATAATAGTATGTCTAACGCTGATATAAATATATAAGCTAGGGCATCTTTAGGATTTAACCTAACTGGAGGATCTAGAATACCTCTAAACTTATATAACTTCTGCTGGGCTCCTAATTATATTTAATTTTACTGCCCAGATTTGAAAAGCCTCCTAAATCAGAAGCTTGTCCATTAGAGAAAAGATTATAAACTTTATTTCAGGCCGGAAGGACAGAATAGAGAAGTTATTTATCTTATATAGGGGAATATATTGTAAAAGGAGATTATTAAATAGAGACTGAAGGAAGAGTAAAGGAATATTAGCTCAATCGGGTATAATATCCAGTCGATTATGCTGAGACAGCCTAAGGATAACTTGAGCTCTGAGGAAGAAGCCGGGGATATTGTAGAAAATTACTACTTTATTAATATAATAAGATTAGATAAGCCCTAAAAAGTGAAGAAAAGGCAAAGCAGGACTGAATAATTATATAAAGAAAAACTACAGAAAGTAATTAAATAGGAATAAAGATTTCTTTCAGTTAAGATAAACCGATTTGGTAATTATCAGCCTCCGAGCATAACTGAGAAAATAAGGATAGTTAAAAAAAAAATAAAGAATATGCCTAAGCAGAGTAAGGATAAAAAGGCTATTAAGATAAAAGAGAAACAGAAGTTAAAAAGATTCAAAGTTACAGATAAGCTGAAAGGGACTACTAATATAATAGGGGTTATAAACCAGATATTAGATACTAGAGTTCAGATGTTAATTTGGGACCTCATCAGTCTATCTCCTAATTTATACAAGGCCTTATTTACCTCGCAACCGCAGTAGGTAATAATAAAGGCAATATTCCACAATACTAAAGGAGTATGGTTTGATGCCTCTGTATTAAATATAGAGTATATAGTGAATAGTGCGGATCAGTACACTTGCGCGTCCTTATAACTTAAGCCTTTTAATAAAGATAAGGTGCTATATGTGGCCGCAACTCTGAAGTTGCCAATTAGAATTAATGGTTATAAGGAAGCGCAAAATATCATAGTAGATAGTGGAGCCGAAATTAATATAATATATAGAGATATAGCAAATCACTATAAACTTATCATAAGCTAGAAATTTGGAGGTAATATAATATTGGCAGATAGCAGGCAGACCCCTTTTATAGGTCTCTGTGAGGAGGTGCCTATACAGATAGAATCTTTTTATTACAAGGTCCCTTTCTTTATAGTAAATAATAAGATTAACCATAATTATGTTCTGGGACAGCCTTTTAAGCATTAAATATATTTACAGCATGTTGCTCTATTAGATAGGATAGTGGAGAGCATAATTTACTCTATAGACCGAAAGAATTGAGCTATTATTTGGATATTTTCAATAGATAACCCAAGAAATAAGTTAAGAGAAGAGGTATTATATAATCTATTATCCCAGGCATAAGAGTTATTAAACTAAAGCCAGAAAGGAATAACAGGCACTGGACTAGGAATAGAAAAGGCCTGTAGGAGCTATATTTAGTAAATAATATCAGCTTCAGAGCGAGCAAAGAAATTAAAAGTAAAGGGGTAGGGATATTTAAACCTACCGAATTAAACAAAGGAGTTAGAAGGTTATAAGGGTATAGACTATTCAGAAGATATGACTTTTTTACTATAAAAATAAAATATTCTGTTAATATACAATATAAGAAGAAATATAAAAAGGTTCGTCCAGCAAATATATTAAACGGACCTATAACAGCTCTAGGGGGATTATTGGGATAGAAAAAAATTATTAGGGAGCGTTATTATAAAAATCCCTAAGGAAGTATAAAAAAAATACGCGGAGGATTTACCAAATACATCTAGCTAAAGATATTGGATATTAAAAAAGGAATAAGATTGACGCCAGACTATCTGAAGAACCTTATTATAGGTAATGATTTATGGCCAAGAGAGAAAGAACTGTTAACAGAGGTGCTTTTCACCTAAGAAGCAGTCCTTGCCTAGACCTTTAAAGAGATTGGATAAATGTGCCCGGAAGTCGCACCTCTAATTATTATTCGGACTATAGATTACAAACTATAATAGGCGAAGAGCTTCTTAGTACTGAAGGCACTCTATAGCATAATATAAGGGATAATAAAAAAAAGGATAAATGTGGGGATCCTTAAACGCAGTTAAGGACCCTACCAAAATCTATAGTTCCTAATAAAAAAGAAAAATAGCAAATATCGCCTGATTAATACGGCTATAGAAGTTAATTAAATAATAATATAGGACATTAATCTGCCCCCTTTAGCTAATGAGTTCTTAGAAGAGTTTAGTAGAATACTAGTATTAATACTTATAGACTTGTTCTTTAGGTATAATCAGTTAGAATTAGCTGAGGAATTGCGGGACTTAACAGCTTTCTATATACTAGGGATCAGTTTAGTTTATTAAGCCAGACTACCCTAAGGATGGACAAATGCAGTATAGGAGTTTATATAAGGAGTTATAAGAGTACTGGCAGATAATATTCCTGATATTTGTGATATATTTCTGGATAATACGCCAATATAAGGACCTAAGACTAATTATAGGGGGGAAGAGACGCTGCTGGGAATCAGAAGGTTTATATTTAAATATATCTAGAATATCGATAAAATACTATGCAGTCTTAAACTTATAGGTTTGATAATTATTGGGGAGAAATTATAATTCGCAGTATCAGGAATTAAAGTGATAGGCTATGTGTGTAACACTAAAGGAAGATATCCTAAGTCGGCTAAGGTAATTAAGATCTTAGAGTGACTACTTTGTTAGAATTTACGGGAAGCGAAAGGATTTCTGGGGGTTACAGCCTATTACTAGATATAGATTAAAGGATATGTTATTAAAGCTAAGCCGATATATTTAATATTGAGAAAGGGATAAGACTTCTTTTAGGGGCTGGAATAATAAGAAGTAATAGATACCTTAAAAGTGGCCCTGACAACAGTACCAGCACTTAAACCAATTAATTATAGAGAGGGAGGTATAATTATTATTAATACTAATGCTAGTAACAATAGATAGGAGGCTTAACTTACTTAAAAAGAAAAGGAGTCCAATAAGAGACACCCAGCTAGATATAAAAGTAGAGTATAGACATAGATAGAGAGGCAATATAATAAAAGAAAGCTAAAGTATAGGGCAGTGCTAAAGGCGCTTCACAAATTCTGAGCATACCTATATAGTATACACTTTCAACTAGAGGTAAATATAAAAACTCTAGTGGCGCAATTAAATAGGACAGCTATAGACCTCCTTAGGTCAATAGTTGCTTAGTGGATTGCTTAGATTCAGCTGTTTAACTTTAATATTATCTATATATTGGGGAAAAAGAACTTAGTCATAGACGGGTTATCTTGGAAGCTGGCAATAAAGCAAGACCTAGAAGAGGCGGAAGATAATGATATAGAGGAATTCCTAGACCTATAGTTTTATATAGTCTATTATACTAGCGTGTAAGAGGTGGAATTAGACAGCATCCCTTGGTTAATACCTATATTATATTGGTCAGAAAAGTCTTTACTAATCATAGAATAGTTATAAACTATAATAAAACCGGACAATATAGACAGAGGACAGTACGCCAAGTTTAAGAAAGAGGCCCTAAAGTATATAGTCTAAGATAATATGCTTTTTTGGAGAGTATAACAAAATCAGCCTTGCCATATAGTTGTTAACAACAAGGAAAAATAAAAAGAAATTCTTACAGCCCTTTATGAAGAGTATGAATATTATAAATATGAAGCGACCTACCAAAAGATAGCTAATTGATATTAATGGAAAGGCCTGTACAAATATGTTGCTAGATAGGTGAAGATATATAATAAATGCTAGAAAGCAGATAAAGAACGCATGGAAAAAGCTTTATGGTCGATATTTATTCTATCAGGGAGATTAAAGCTATATCTAGATATCTGCAAGATTATGCCGCCTAGCAAGAGAAAGACTTATATTGCTGTATTTTGGGATAATTTCGGCTAGGTCAAATATAAAGCCTTTAATAGCCCTACTTTAGGAGCTATTGCTAAATTCTTGTAGAAAGACTAGATTTATTATTAGGGAGTAATAGAGACACTTATTAATAATAAAGGACTGGAGAATAAAGCTGTAGTTAACATATTAGTACAGAAATATAAGATTAACTATATTAAAGTCTCGCTATATAACTTGTAAGCAAACAAAGCAGTTAAAGTCATATATAAGTCCTTTATACGTAGTATCAGAAAACTTGCAAAAGGAATAAGAATAAATTAGATAAACTATCTATCGGCAGTAATCTGGGCAGATAAGAATATAGTTAAGACTTCTATAGGCTTAACACTATTCAGAGCAATTATAAGATATAATGCTGTACTGCCAATCAAACTAGAAGTGTCCATCTAAAAGATTTTAGCATGGGATAAGGTTAGGATTATAGAAGATCTTCTACTCCTTCGCGTATAATAGATAGAGCTCCGAGATTAGGATATAGAAGAGGCCCGACTTCGCGTTTAATGCATAAGAGAAGCTGGCAAGGAAGTTTTTGACAATAAGAAACAGCTTTGCGAAGAATAACTAATAGAAGGATAGCTTATTCTGCTTTATAATATAAAGCTCAAGATATCTTACTCTGCAAAACTGGTATACTGCTGGCTCAGACCATATAGGATTAAAGAAGTCCTTAGGAAAGGATCTTATAAGCTTAAGGAGTTAGATAGCATATCTTTTAAGGACCCGATTTATAGGAATTACTTAAAAGGCTACTATCTATAAGAGGATTAAAATAAAATACTAACTATAAGTAATAATATAGTACCTGAGCAAGAAAATCAGCAACTGAGTAATAATAATAATAATGTGGACTAGATATTACCTGGATCGGAATATATAGTTATAGTTCTAATATCCTCCTTCTAAAAATATTAGCTTAAAAGGAGGGAAGTAGAAAGCTGGCAGTAAAGTAAGATAAGGAGCCAGTTTAAAAGGAGAAGAAATAGAAGAATAATAGTAAAATAAATATTAGTGCTATAATAGGAAGAGAAGGAGGGTGAACTTAAGATAAGGGCGTCTTTTTTAGGGGAGGGGAAGGATTCAAAGATGCCTAATAATAATTAAGAAAGAAGAAAAAGAGAGATAACTGAAAAATATGTGATATTGGCTTAAATATCTTAAAAAAGTCTATAAACAAAGCTAAAAATAGAAAATATTAGATAAAGAATATAAGCAATAAATAAAGAATCCTCACCTTATTATAAAAACCTTATTTTTTATATTATATAATACTATAGCGGAAGTGACTGGAGACCAAATTAAGCTAAACTTAACCCTATCTTACCTTTTAAATATATCTTTTCACTTAAAAACCATTTTAAAAAGTCGCTCTGCGAAGATACACATTAAAAATAAAAAAAAACATATTAGAAATACAAAATGTTGTTTGTCAGGACAAAGCTCTTTAACTTAGAATATATATATATATTACAATTAGCGAAATTTGTAAGCTTATAAAGGAGATAATAAATAAGGCCAATAATAAAGAAGAGAAGATTTAGTTTATAAGCAATATAGCAGTAATTATTTTAAATTTTTAAAGCAGATATAATAAAGCAGCCAGTAATTTTTATGATTTTCTGAATTAATAGGAGCTATTAGAAAAAGCAAGAAAAAAAGAAGTACTGGCTGTTGACGAGCTAAAAGAATTAAAAATATGAGCAGAAAAGAACTATAAATATGCTAATAAAGGTTATTGCAAAGCCATAGAGAAATAGAGCTAGGAGACTATAGACCAAGTCTTATCAATTATTAGAAAGTTATACCAGACCTTAATAGCTATAGGAGGATTAGCTTCTAGTATTAGAGACTGGAGAATAGTAGCTGTATATCTGGCAAGAGCACAGGTTAACAGACTTTATAATATTGGGAGATAAGGAATACTAACTAAAAAGAGCCTTTAACTAACTAATATTAGAAAGGCAAAAGATATTTTAAAAAAAGCCCTCAGCGGAGAAGGACCAATTCCTTAAAAGCCTACTAATAAAGAGCTGTAAGAGGTTGAAATAAGAGTAGGGGAGAATAATCTTCTAGAGGAGATTATAGGAGAAAAAGAAGAATATTAGATAGAAGATTTAGATAAGAGCTTATTAATAGATTTAATATTAAATAAAGGAGAGGAAAGCATAGAGGAGAAGGAAAAAGGGAAAAAAAGGATTAAAAGTCCTAAGAAGCCAAAAGGGGAAAAAAAGCTTAAGACTTAAGATAAGGGGAAACGGCCAGAAAAAGGATATAAATATAAGATTGGCATATCTATATTAATAGAAAAGGCCATTATTAATCTAGAAGGTAAAGAAATACTAGAACTTTTAAGGGAAGAAAGGATTAAACCCGCCGCTATATGCTAAGTTTATATTAAAGAAGTGCAAAGCGCAATGGGATTAAAGAGTACAAAAGATAATATCCTTAGAAAAAGGTTGAAAACACTTATAGATGGTGACAATAATCTCAAATCCTGGAATACTAGTGCGGACTACTGGAAATAGTTTTAATAGGGATAGAGACTTAACACTAACCTTAAGGATTATTGCTGCCTGGATAAGGGGGAAACTAAAGTATAGTCCTGGCTAAGTAGACTGAATATAAGCGCTGAGGAGGTCGGAGAAGTTTTATAATGGGTTAATTCTAGGAAGATTGACTTAATCTGCAAGCCTCATATATAATTATTGGCCAATATAATTAGTATAAGGGAGGACATGTCTAGGAAAGAAGCTAGAGGAGTATTAAAAGCAGTCAGAAATATAAAGCTGGCGGTAGTAAAGCAGTAAAAGAAGGGACTATTCAGAATAATAACCTATTCTTATAGAAGTTCGCTTGAAGAAACTGAACGGTCTATAAGTAAAACCTCTAAAAATGAATAAGCAATAGAACCTCTTAGCAGAGTTTTAGAAATTAATATGAAGACCTCCTTTTCTGCGGTAAACCTGAAAGATCCTTTTATTAAGAAAGAAACCAGGCACCTGAAAGATATGTAGAACGCCAGAACTATACAGTTCAAAAATGATATAGAGGCCGAGCAGATGCCAGGCATACCCAGCAACAGCCAGATTAAAGAAAGAATAAAGAGTCCCATTCTAAGAAGTCCTGAAAGTATAGAAGATAGAGATAATATAAAAATTAAAGAATCCTTATCCGAAAACCTTCTCCCCAAGAAATCCCCAGCATTAGGGATAGTTTGACCATTCAGAGATCTTGGGTTGATTGATACAGATACTTCCAGTAATATACCTAGCAGCTTATATTGTGAAGCCCGAGACAACCTATATAGGGCTAAAGAGTATCCCAAATCCAAATATAGGGACGGAAAATATTTCGACCTAAGCAAAGAAGACTTCACCCTGAATAAGATACGGGACTAATATATCCAGTTAGGTATCGCA